GCTTCCTCCGCTGCATTTGAAAAGCTGTGCACGCAGGCAAATCTCAACATTCACTTTTAAAATGGCAGGTTAACAGGCATGAATAATGTTGATGCCAAATTTTATTTCACAAGAGGATATTCTATACTAAATTGTGAGGAATTAATTATACTATCATTCACATTTCAAAATGTGGCGTAATTTAAAGAATAAATCTGTAGCTTTACCGTGCGTTATTGTTGAGCGGCTCTCAGCATGACTGAAATGCTCAACAATTACTTTTTGCGGTGAACGGTATAAGTAACTCAAAGCTTTGGCTCTGAGTTAAACCAAGAGTGCAACACAATTAACCTTTTTAAAGTCCATGAAATAATTTAAATTGATATATTAACTTAAAATTTCCCGTCACTGGGGACGGGTACTTTTGATTATTAATATATATTTCACAGAGTTATTTACCATAACATCACTCGAGCTAAGCTACAGTTATACCTGATATCAATATTTAGTATAAAGTTCACATAGTTATTTTTATCATACCATTATTAAAAGTAAGCTATGGTTATACCCGATATCATTACCTAATATAAGGTTCCTATAGCTACGTACCATACCATCGCTCAAACTAAGCTACAAGTACACCTGATATCATACTTTAGTATTAAATTTATTGGGTTGTATACCATATTGTCACTCAAGCTAAACTGCAGTTATATCTGATACCATCACTTACTATAACGTTCATATGGTTATTTACTGTACCATCACTCAAGCTAAACTACAAGTATACCTGACATCATAATATAGTATAAAGTTACTGTAATTATATACCATACTGTCACTAAAGCGAAATTACTATTAATATCATAACTGAGGTGCTTTCAAATAGTATTTCGCTTTGAAAACATTTTCAGCTTCAAATTATATTGAAAAGTATATTTTCAGTTTGGTATAATACTTGAAAAGTATGTCTGTTATTACAATTAGACACGAAATCGGCTTGAAGCATGCTAACTTTTTACATTTCAACTAGATAACTGCTGTGACCCCACTGATTGTTTGTTTGTTTGTAATTAAGCACAAAGCTACACAGTGGGCTACCAGTGCTCTGACCACCATGAGTATTGAAACACGGATTCTAGCGTTGTAAGTCCACGGACATCCCGCTGTGCCACTGGGGGGGGGGGGGCACACGCTGTATCTCCTAGCTGAGATGCAGAGAATCAAGCTAATCTTCATTGTTGAACAGAGCCTTAAATACAGTTCTACAGTCGAATATCATATCACTTGCGAAGTACATCTTAATTTATGCTCGTTTTTTGAAATATCTGGGAGAATACTTTAAAACAGCTAACTGAGCAGTTAGCAATTCACCGGACCTATAATTGTAAAAATTTCACAGGAGCTTGTATGTGTATTTGGTAATATCTCCATCGATAACTTTTAAGCTTAGAAAAGTGTTCGGTTTGATACATTACACTTATATCTTCTCTCCCTCTTTTATAATATTTCCAAATTATATTTTTTAATTTTTGAAAAAAAATAAACGCTTAAACATATTATATTGTTGCGTCATCGAGATCACATGACAATTCTCACGCCCTCTTGTTTCTAGAACTATCCCGTATCTTGGACGAATGCTCTAGTATTTGCTAGATA